CTCTGGGGAATTGACCCAAAAAACGCAGAGACAGGGAGAAAGAACAGAGAAGATTTAACGCTAAACGCTTAGCCGCTTCAACAAATCAGTACGTTGTTTTTTGGCCCAGTTTAGATGGCTTAGTTGCTTTTGGCCAAAAGCGGAAATTGGTTGCGGGCGGCAGACGGCAAGAAAACTAATTTGAAATTCCAAATGAAACGAATGAATTCGGTCTGATTGAGATGAGACCGGGAAAGCGGACGGCCAACGATGGCCCTCCGGCGGTCACTCCAACTGGGTTCTCCTTCTTACCTCTTCCTACACTTTAGTTGTTTTTCATTTATTTTCTTGGACAACAAATGGAAAAAAACTAGCACATCAAAATAAAAATACAACAGACTAAGTTAGAGCCCAACAGCTGCTGACTTTCTTCCGTCTTTCTTTCAAGATCGGAAATCTCCAAAATGAAATATTTACTAAAGCAAATGTTTTAAGTAAAGAGTTGTAATGATGGGATGTTTTTCTTGAAAGTATGTTAAGATCAAAGGTCTATAGAAGTATTTCAAGATATATCTATAGTATTTGTAGTACTTCTTGGAGAATCCTGTATTTTATACCTTGAAATATGAAGTTCTTTATATGCTATTTCGTGTCAATACTTAGGAATTCTTGACTTTAAAGATGTATCTTATGATATAAGTACTGCATTTCAAAGCATCCTTTTTGGTATTAACTGAAATATACTTTCTGTAAATAAGACTAATCCTAAGATCTGGGACATGTATATGTCTACCTTTCTATATTCCCAGTCTGATTCTTTGGAGTGATTGACTGCCGCTTGATTACCTAATGGACAACAGCACTCTTCGTGTCTTCAGCCTCCCCTCATTAGCATCTCAGATTTCATTAGCTTCCTTTTTTTCCCCGCTGTCTCAATGATGGCCTTCTTTTTGGCTTGTGCCGCTTGGCTTGGCACAGATTCTTCACTCTAAACCACTCTGCTCTATTCTTTTTCTTGTTCTTTTTTCCTTTTTGGGGGCTGGCTATGTGGGTCAGCTTGAATTCAATGGTGTCTGTGTGTAAACACCTGTTTCGGGCCACAGACGCATGACAACACACAATTGGGGGATTTTGTACTAGAGTAAAGATTCGCCAGGCGAATGATATGATATTCTCCCACTCAACATCAACAGCAGCACTCGGAGTTGCCTTCAAGATGCCTGTTGTTGAAGGCTAAATGGTTGAGCGATACAAGACCACAGAGTGATGACTGATGGGCAACGAGTGGCGAGTTGGAGGATCACATGAGTGACGAGTGATCATTGAAGTGGGGTTCTGGAGAGGGTCCCCACTTGAGACAGCTGAAATTGTTTATAGACTCAAGTTTAGTGCTTAAGGGATTATATTTTGCTAGATATAAGAAAGGATATCTGGGTAGAGAAAGTAATTATAGTTAAAGATGGGAAGGAAGAGGTTGTTAGAATATTTAACAGATGAATTCTTTAAAGTTCATTCTTTTTTTTATTTTTCCCTTATTTACTTTTTTCTATTTTTGTTCTATTTTCTATTTCTATTTTGGCAATAAAACGAAAACTGTTTCAAATCGAATTTGCTTTGTCGTTTGGCCATGGTAATTATACCAAATAGAAACCCCTAGATCATCATCATCTTCATGGTGATGCGGCGTATCTTCCCTATCGTCATGATGACGATGAGCTGGCACTTGTGTTTGTCGTTCCAGCTGAAATCTTTTCGTTTTCTTTCGAGGAAACGAAGACCCAGAAGCGGCCCAAGATCTCGCTTGAAGAATCTGTGCTATTCCAACGGTTGTTTTGTTTACAGTCACCATCACCTCGCCCCCCGCTTTTATTTTAACCATTTTTGGTATTATAAGCCATATTAAATCGAAATGCTTCTTAGTTATGAGAGAGAGGGGCAGGAAATGTGGGCCAAAGTTGTATTTGGATCTGTTTTTATTTTTTTTGGTCTCAGTCTCAGTCTTGGTCTCGGTATTTTGGCTTATGATCGCCCCGCGTTTTTTTTTGTCATAAGCACAATGACGCTCCATAGTTCTTTTGAGCACAGATACCACCGCGATCCCTCGCTTAAACTTTCGTTCCCAATTAGGCCATAAAATTATTCACCCAGTCGCTGGAAATGGGGGGAAATAGCAGTAAATGGCTAGATCTAAATGAATGCACTTAAAATGAATGAATGAATGGAATGGAATGAACCGGATTCGATTGGAATGGAAATGGAATGGCCCAGTTCCCGTTTGCCAGTTCCAGGCGAATGCAAATCAAAAGGAGACTCTTAGGTGGCGGCTGTGGCTAATTTGAATAGTTGATTGTTTTAAAGCAAAAAAGCGATTGAATCATTTATGCTGATGCATTTATGCACACAATCAATGAGTGTGTTTGGTTAAGACATTATAAATTACTGGAATGGCAAGCAATGTTCTTTCCAGACTGGATGGCTGAGTATATTCCATGAATAAAAACCATTCATTTCTGTAAGAAGGGTTGTGAGACCAACACTGATTGCATTGCAAAAAGGGTTGTAAAAGTCAGCCAAGAAGAACCTTTTTGCGGATTATTGGGGTATTCATTAAATTAGAAATTTAAAATACATATGTTTTTAAGATAAGGACAACCTTTCATGGTTACTTACAAAGGAATTATCACACCTTTTTAGGGTTATGCTACTTATGAATCATTCCATTAATCAGTCATGAATAAAGCTCATTCATTGGGATACTTCTTTTAACTATGAAGATTCATTTTCATTTTAAACAAATCAAATATCTTTATTAAATTATACATAAATTAAATCAACTCCATTTCTTTGACAATGAAATATAAATCTCAAAAATTCCAGTCAGAACTTTCTTTTTTTGGGAACCTTTTGTAATTATAATCATCAGCTCTTAATTATGTCCAATTAAAAGCGACTCTTCTGGGCTGTTGCTACTTAATCCGTTGTAAATGACCAAAGAAATTCTAATTAAAATTCCAAATTGATTGATGGAGGCACTGACAGAACTTGGAAGAACAAAAAAATAACGACAGAGACTGTGGCTCATCTTCCCATGGCCAAAGTGTCTAACTATCTGAGTATCTATGTATCTATCTTTAGAAAAAAGCGGAAAGCCGGGGTGAACGTGTGAAAGTGTTCCCATTTCACTTGGTCAAGACCGAGACGAAGACGGAGCCCGTGACCAGTGTCAATTTCAAGTTCTCGTTTCGAAACAAAACATTTGGTATTTCTTTTTTTTTTTTTTTTGTTGTTGTTGACTGCACTTGACTTGGCCAAGACTTGGAGTTGGCCAAGAGCTTTTCCTCGCTGCGTGCGCGTGCTTGCGTGTTGGGTTCATTCTTTCTCTTCTGCTTGGAGCCCCCATTTAATGGTTACAATAAAAAACAGAAAGAAAGAAAAGGGCTAATTACAAGTCACATGCGTATGCAAATGCCATAACTTCCACATCAAACTTGAACTCCATGAAGGCGGAAAAAGTGTGTTTTTGGAGTGTGCGAATGTTCTTTTGTATTTAGAAGAGAATTTTCCATTGTGGCAGCATCTCTTATTTACAATTCCAAACAAAACACCGAATTGAGAGCGGCTTCAGCGAGGCGGAGCGTTGCGTTAAACATTTTGCATTTGCATAGCAATTTCATTTGAATGATTATTTATTTCATTCCTCGCTTTCCCTAACGTTTGTGTCTTAAGTCTTTTGTTTCTTTTTTTACGACTCGAGGAGGTGGAGTCTCTCTCCACTCGACCCGCTTGCAATTCGGTCAAGTAATCATTTATTCCAACTTAATTGCTGCCATGTTGCACTCCAGTTCCAGTTCCAGGTTTTCCAGCTCCAGGTTTTCCAGCTGCTGTTGTTGTTTTAATTACTCAGCATGTTGCATGCAAATCCAGCCATGCTGGAAAAACTAGCAATGAGCGATTTTCCTTTTTGGGTGTGGTTCGTTCACTAAGAACGAAACGAAGCTCAAAGAAAATGCATCTAAAGAAAAAAGGGGGTTGCTTCCACCGAGAGAGTTTCCAACGAGGGGGGGCTGTATATATATATATCAATATGCCATTAACTGGCGGAGGAAGCTTGACCAGCTTTCAGATACACACATACATAAATATTGTATCTTTGTATCTTTGTATCTATGTATCTACCTACTAGTAGTTACCGTTACGCAGCAAGAAGATGAAACATGTTCTCGAACCGAGAACCAGAACCCAAAGAAGATTTCCAATCTGAATGGAAAAGAAAAATAGAGAGAGAGAGCCTCAAAATGGAATTTTCTTTGGATACCAAGGCCAATCTATATACGATATATGTATATATATATATATGTATATGAAAAGTGGCTTAAATTAAACGAAACGAGAAGAGAAAATAACAATAAAGGCCGGCCAGAAGAAGCTGCGGCAGCAGCATTACAAATCGATTGGAAACTCGTTTTAAACATCATTTGACTGGAAAGTGCATTTTCTGTTATTAATATATGAAGAAAAAAAAAATAAAGAGTTGAGTTGAGCCGATGAAGAGGCCAGATATGTTATAATTAAGTGGCATTGTTTTCAGCCCCAACTTCAGGTGCGATCCGTTAGAGAAAACTCAGGGAGAGCTCAAGCTGATGTTGATGTTGAAGTTGAAGTTGAAGCTAAACTTTTTCAAGTTGAAAACAAAGTCAGAAGAGATTCGATCCCAGATCTCAAGCAAAAGAAGTTGAAAAAATGTGCCGCAATTGGTATCATCTCTTGTGAGCTCTTCATTCAAGATTTTTTTCTGGTAATTTGTTGTGTGTGTGTGTGTTTGAAGAAAATTGTTGAAAGTTTTCTCTTGAAATCGAATCGTATAAAGTGGAAACAGATCTAACCAATAAATTTTTGAAGAGAACCAGTGTAGTTATTAAAAAAGTCATACTAAACAGGCTTATCAGCATCTCTCTTTTTTTTGTCTTTGTAATATAATAAATTTTAATCAAAACCAATTCTTTTGGTCTTTCTCTTTGCAGAAGAATTGCAGACAGAAGAAGCTTCACGCAGCAGCCGAAGAATACAAAGAGGTAAGCACAAACCTCTTGGTTTTTGGGTGGGAGAATCAAAGAGTCCGGGAAATCACAGAATCACAGAATCAGAGAACCAGACAGAGAGATAGTCAGGGAATCAGGGAAACCTACTGAGACTGAGAACATGAAGTGAACTCCACTCCATGCCAAGTTGAGGCGGGTTCACATTGAAAACTCTAAAACCTAGGCTCGGTTCAACTTGGACTTGTGTGTATTTTATGTCTTCCGCTGTAATTGCGATCACAAATCAAGGCAGGTGTTGAGTGGATTGGACGTTGACGTTGAAAGTTAAACAGAGAAAGAGAGAGAGAGAAATGTTAAAGCTGGCTTTCCATCCAATCCCAAGTCCCAGTCCCAATCTAAGTCTAATCATCATGGACTCGCTGGGTTGTCTCTGGTTGTCTGAATGTCTATTTATAGGCGAGGTGCAACAGGCAATCGCCCGGCAATTAGTCACTCGGAACCGCGAACCGCAGAATTGCAGAACCAACATCAACTCCATCCCAACCCATCTGTCCAGCACCATCCAGCATCCATCCATCTATCCATCCATCCATCCATCCATTGCGTCGTTCCATCTGTGAATGCTGCGATTGCACTGCCACTGCCTTAATGCGCACCCTCGACTCAGTCGCCTTCTGTCTCGCAAATCACAATTATTTAGGTCTGGCTTTGCTAATTTTGAGATGGCAACGTGACACGAACTATTGCATTATGGCGATATAATATTGAAATAACTAAATATTTAAATAACTAAAACTAAACTGTTGATGTTTAAAGATTTATATACCTTTTTATCAATCTTTAAAGTTGTTTGAAAGTTTAGCTAAGTGAAAAATAATTAAGGAAGAATTTTATAAGAAGTGTTACAGGGGTATAGAGAGACAGCGATCAACTCCACTTAATTTTCTCTTAAAACTATCGCTTAATAATCAGTTTCCCGTTTAATTGAGATTTCTCATCTATTGTTTTTACCTTTTCTAATCACCTTTTTATGACCCTACCTTTTGTTAATTACACTTGCTATTCCTTCGGGGGAATTTTCACGCTGATTGCTCATAAAAAGATCAAGCAAGTAAGAATCTTTGTGGTCGTGAGTGATTTCTGCTTCCATCTTCCATCTCCAAAGGCCATAAATTGTCCAGTGGCGGTGGCTTAGTGTAACTAATTGACGATCAACGCAAAACGCTTTGGCGGCATCCACCGCCCAGCAACCATTCCGCCTCCTTGGTGACATTGAGTAATGGAATTGGAGGAGTTGGAGTTGGAGTTTGGAGTTGAAGTTGAAGCTGTGGTTGAAGTTAAAGCTCCTGCAGGTCAGGTCCTTGGGGCGCAGCACATTTTGAACGCTTTGATTTGTTTGAGCCGCCGTGACGACTTCTTCGACAATTAAGTCTATTCTAAAATAGAGACAGAGAGATATGGAGAGAGGGAGAGGTAGAGAGAGAGATGGAGAGAAAGATGGAGAAAGATGGAGATAGAGATGGAGAGAGAGATGGAAAGAGGCAGAGATGTGGAGAGGTAAAGATGAAGCGAGGGAGAGATATAGAAGAGTGAGATGGAGAGAGGGAGAGATAGAAAGAGATGGAGAAATGGAAAGTGAGGTAGAGAAAGAAAGAGAGGGAGAAGGAGAGAAAGAAAGACAGAGAGTAGGTTAAAAAGTTCCAAAACAAGGGGCTACTGAAAGGAGATAAAGAAGCTTATATAGTGAGAGAAATCATATCTTCAAGTTAATAAACAAATTTAAATGAGGCTTTTAACCTTAAAAATTAATATAATTAAAAATAAATTGTTTAAAGGTAATATTTATATTTTATTGATTAAATATTATTACTGTCAGTACTTCTATTAAAATATATCTAACAGAGATACATTTCTAGGTGAATTTTTACCTTTACTTTTTTTTTAAATATATCGAAATATAAATTTTATAAATTTTAGACTCTACTTCTATCGTAATATATCGAAAAGATGTTCCATTTTAGCCTTTGGCTTTATCTTTATCTTGAAGTATAGAGAAAACATGTTTAATTAGTAGCAAAAAGTTTTCCCTATACTTAGAGGCAATCTTTATCCCTGTCCCTCTAATTTATTATCAGATTCTGGTCTCAGCTTGGGACTGCGTTAAAGGATGCTGAGCTGTGAAGATGCGATCCATTTGGAAAGCCGCACCTTTGTAAGGGCTGCGCAGCCGCGCTGTCATTGCAATTAATTTTGTCTTTGTCTATATTTAATTCGCCTTTTTCGCTGGGCTTGTCTCTCTCTCTCTCTCTCTCTCTCTTTTTCTGCTTTCCTGTTCTTCGAGGGCGTTACCACAAGTTCTCACATGCCTGGGCGATAATCGATAGTTATCGATAAATCCCTGTCTCCGGCCTCTGGAAAGTTTTCGGTCATTGTCCATGCACTAATTAAGTTATGCACTTGGTCCCTGCCTCGTTGCCCAGCTATGAGGAAGTCTTCTTGGTCTCTGCATATATCTATCGCTTGTATCTGGAGAATGTGCTGCTTCGGACCCAGGCCAGGCCAGGGGGAGCTAAGAACCTCCAACCTCGACGAAGAGCTTATCAAGACCTGGCCATCTGAGTTTGGGGCCTTTCTGCGGTCTTAGCCCCCTTCCTTTATTTATTTATTTTTATTTTTTTATGCCTCTGCTGCGAGCGGAAGTTCTCTTTTTCACGAAAAAAATTCTAAAGAGTTTTGTGCTGTTATCTGTTGTTGCTCCCAGGCGATATCATAAATCCTATTAATCGAAATCGAAATGGTATAGACGGGGGCACAGTGAAGGAAGTATATACTTGCCATAATAATAATTTCAAAGCTTTTTATCAGCTAACGTTGGTGGAGTTTTTCTCAATAAGAAGCTTAAAATATTGCTTTTTTTATCTATATCCATATTTAAATATTCCTTTCTTTTCGACAAATCAAAGCTTAAAATTCTCATAACTAAGCTAAAAAGCATTAAATTCAATTCGGGAAGCGGTCATATGATAGTTTTTATTGGTTTTACAAATCTGAATACTCAATTTAAAATTAAAATTTTTGATAAATTTTTAAAAATTCTAACGATGTAACCCCTTATAAAATATTCAAAAAATTTAAAAAATTTATTTTATTTTCTGTCGGAGATAGCTGGATCGATTCGCCTGTTGATGCTGATTAAGAATATATGTGATTTATAGGGTCGGAAATGATTTCTTCACTCAGTTTAATGTTTCTAAATAATAGTATAATACCACTCTTTAGTCTTTATTTATTGATTTTTTAAATATGACAATTTTGTTACCAATTCAAGTTTAAAAAACTCATAACTTAGCCAAAACACCATTAATTTCAATTCGGAAAACGGGCTTATGTTAGTTTTTGCTAGATTAAAAAGTCTGCATAATCAGTTTAAAATGTAAAAACATTAAAAATTTCATCATATTTTTTTTAAATCTTAACCCCTTATAAAATTTATAAAAAAATGGTAAACAATTTTTTTCTGCCTAAGATGGCTAGATCGAATCTCCAGTTGATGCTGATCAAGAATATATATGATTTATAGGGTCGGAAATGACTACTTCACTCAGTTTCAAGCATTTGACTGAAATTATAATACCCTGCAATCACTGCTTTTTGACAATTATCGATAAATGCTTGAAAATTACAAAAAACTTCCCCAAAGTAACACGAACAGTCGATAAACATTTACTGAAAGCGATTACATAAATAGGTATCGAGTATCCTTTTGCGGCAATTGCGTTTATGTGACCCCTAAGTGGATATCAATTAACTCGGTCTGTTCCTCTTTACTATATTCCATTTATTTATGGTTTTCGTTTTTTGTATTTCTGTTTCTGTTTTTGTTTTCTGTTCCTTTTTTTTATATTTGTGGCTTTTCAATTACATTTATCGATCCTCCTCCGCTTGCTTATTCTCCATTTATTCCACAATCATCGCAGAATGAAGTGGAGTGGAGAACTCCTAGCTCTGGCTCGCTTTTCAAGTGGCAATTGTTAATTTATTGTTTGTGGGCAGCCGTAAGCGTTTTGTATTGATTCAGCTTGCCAATTATTGTGTAAATAAATTCCAAATTGCGTGAGGCAGTAACAGCGGCAAAAGTGTGCTCTTCATGAACTCCTTTGGGCTTGGGTTTGGGTTGGGGTTTGGGTTTTTGAGTTGATCGTAATGTTTGCTGCTGCTGCTGTTGCTCTGCTCTGTTGCCAAAGGCCATTCACATACATTTTTTCGTACTTTATGGGCAATTTCCAGGCCCAAGAAAGAGTTGGCAGAAAAAAAAATGCTGTAAAAAGAAGGCAGGCAGCGGAAAGCTAAGACTAACGGAGTCAACAAGCCGCCGCAATATTGGTAGAATCAACTCTACCTCCTACTCTTCCAGCTGGAACTCCTCCTCCTCCTGCTCCACCTTCTGGGGCTCCACAAAGCCCCAGCATTGTGCACTACAAATTGTCACACAATGTTCCAGCTTGTGTTGCCTAGAGTTTCCCCTCTCTGTGTTTGGTTTTCCCCCATGGAAAGCTCAATGAGATAAGCTGAAAAGCCTAATATGGACAAAGCAGCAACAAAGCATGAACGAACAGCCAAGCATGAAAGCAAAGGAAAAGCAAAAAAAAGAAAATCCGTTGATGGGCCACTGATAAGGCTAGATTATGAGAACGATTTTTGATTTAAGAGCCAGACTCCAGAGCTATAAATCAAAGAAATCGGGGAGATCAGGAAAATACATATATATCAAGGTTGAAAATAATGTTCAATGCTGTTAAATATTCCTAAAAACTTATTTACACAGCTTGGAATTATGATAAGTTAGACCTTAAACTTATACTTTTTTCAAAGCCAAAAATTTGGAATAGGGGCGGTATAGCCCATACTTTTTGTTTGAAGAATTCAACTCTTTGGTGAAGAAATGAAAGATAGAAAGACACAGAAGCAACGGTGGCTGGCAGCTTTCATTTGTTTGCTCAGTTTATGAAACTGTGAAGGTTTCTTCAAAGGCA